CTAGGATGGATTATGTTGGGGGGCGGGGTGGAGAGGGTTCGAGTTTCTGCAAACTTGTGAATTGTCTGCAAAATGTTGTGTGTCTTGGTGTTTTTGGTGGGGAGAGGAGCTGTGCTTCCATGATATTCTCTGAAGGGCATTTGACACCCTAATAGTTTTAAAATTATTATTATTTTTAGTGGAGGTACCGGAAATTGAACCCAGGACCTCATGCATGCTAAGCATATGTTCTTCCATTGAGCTATACCCACCCCACCCCCAACACTAATAGTTAAGGACCTCAATTCAAAACCTTCTGGTGGGGGGCTTCTGCCTCTATCCCGAAGTGCATGGCCATGATTTGTTCCCACATCTGTCTCCTGGCCCCTGCTGATCCCTCCTCATGCCTCCTCTAGCAACATGTAGGCAGTGGGTAGGTAGGAAGGACATCCAGGTGCTCATGTAGTTTGTAATTCTAACTCGCCATGTGACCTTGGTAAGTCCCAGGCTCCATCACAGAGGACTCTTGGTGACAAAGGACAAAATATTCAGATCTAGCTGGCTGAAATGACAAAAGGATAATCAGCATATATACTTTTGAAGTTAAGGATCAGGCTGCAGATAAGGCTGGATCCAGGCTTCAAATGACGTCACCAGAGCTAGGCTCCCTCCATCCCTCTGGTCTACTTTCTGAGTGGGAGGTGGCTGCCAGTGGCACTAGGCTCATAGCCTTCCAAGCTGAAAAGTACACACTCCAGGAGGACGTGAAATGGTGCTCAGCATCGTCAGTCATTAGGGAAATGCAAATCAGAACCATGGATACCATCTCACAGCCACTAAATTGGCCACATATATTTTTTAAAGGCAGGGTATACTTGCTGATGAGAATGAAGAGAAATTGGAACCCTTGTGCGTCACTAGGAATATAAAATGGTGCGGCTGTGATGGAAAAGAATTTGGCGGTTCCTTAACAAGTTAAACATAGAATCACCATGTGATCCCGCAATTCCACTTCCAGGCGTATACCGCAAAGAATTGAAAATAGGTAATTCAAGAAAATACTTGTACAGAAATGTTCATTTGCAGCACTATTGATAAGAGCCAAAGGGTGGAGACAACCTAAATGTCCACCAATGGATAAACAAAATGTGGTCCAGCCATACGATGGACTACTGTTCAGCCTTAAAGGGGAGTGAAGCACTGACACACACTGCAGCGTGGATAACCCTGAAAACATGCTACTCAGTGAAAGAAGCCAGACACTAAAGGCCACATATTGTGTGATTTCTTTTATATGATATGTCTAGAACAGGCAAATCCATACAGGCAGAAAGCAGATTAGTGGTTGCTGGGGGCTGAGAGGTGGGAATGAGTATAGAATTTCCTTTGGGGGTGAAAAATGTGTCTTGGAAAACTGGATAGAAGTGCTGGCTGCACAACACTGGGAATGTTCTAGATGCCTCTGAATTGTTCACTTTAATATGGCTAATGGTTAGTTTTATGTTATGTGAAATTTTCCTCAATTAAAATTAAATAAAGCTCCCAGAGTCATTCTTGGCTGGTGTTAGGTCATGCCCCCCGCCCCCCGCCCCCTGCTACCTCCTCCGGTGACCAATACCAGTAACCAGAGAGGTGCAACCCTTTGATTGGCCAGATGTGGGCATGCGCTTCCTCTGCAGAGGGAAGGGAGCCTCGCTCTGACTACAGGTCTGATTGGGGGAAAGAGGGAGTGAGTGGGGGCCTCTTAAGCCTTGTGCCATGTCTTGAGTTGGCATTCTCTCAGAAGGGCTGCCATTTTAAAATTCACACAGAGGTGACTTACAGGCTTATATTGGCCCTGGAAAGGCGGGGAGGTGGGAAACTCTCAGATCAGGGACTGTTGCCAGAAAAAAAAGGGGGGAAGAAAGGTGCTAGGAAGGGGAATATTGTAAATGTCTGGTGTACTGCCCTTTTCTGGGGAAATGCCTCATTGCACAGATTTTGGGTCTGCTCCAAAACCATTCATGGTTCCCCATTGCCTGTGGGATAAAGATTGAATGTCTGTGTGCCAGTCGAGGTCAGCTCTGAGATGAAGTTCATCTGGGGTAGATCTTTGACACCCCGCTGGGCTCTGTTTCAGCCTGGTCTTACTCAGTATTGCTGTGAGTGGTTGTTTGGATGTTTGAGGCTGGCAGGAAAGTGGGAGGTACAGGGAACAGGATGGAGGCCAGAAAGAGGATTCCAAAAAAAATCTGGAAGGGCTGAACCGTCTACAATGTGAAAGGTAGAGGAATAAATGCAGAGTCCTCCCTTTGGGTGCAAATAAACTGGACCACTAGAGGGCGATAGAGACCTAATGTAGCAGTTCAGTTACAGGCTGAAGCTAGACTCCTCAGGCCCAAGATGCTGCTTTCTAGCTGCGGGACTTGTGTTTCAAGTTCATTGTTTGTAACATCAGGATAACATGTATCAATCATGCATTCTGCCCAATGATCAAATTGCTATTTGCTTTTTTGAGGGGTGGGGGTCAAGTTGTTTATTTGTCTTTTAAATGAAAACAGAAAATTGGGCAGGGAAGGGGGGCAATAGATCTCCTCCCTTTGCTCCTATTGATGTGTTTAAACAAGAAACATTGTGTCACTTCAAGAAGTCATTTGTCACAGATCAAGAATAGCCATAAGTTTAGATACAGTAACAACAGAAAAAATGTTATTAATTGCAGCTCAGTGATTCTTAACCCAATCTGCACATTAGAATCTCCAGCTGAACTAAAAAAAAAAATGTTATTTGTATTATGAAGATACAGATAACAAACAAGTGGTTACCAGAGGGAAGGGGGGCGGGAGAAGGGCCAAAGTAGGTGGAGGGGATTAAGAGGTACCAACTACTTGGTATAAAATAAATGTTACTAAATAAATAAATAAGTTACAAGGATATAATGGACAAGGGAGTAGGACCAAGGTTTTATCATAATTTCATATGGAGTATAATTGATAAAAATATTGAGTCAGTATGTTGTACATCTGAAACTAATATAATATTGTAAGTCAACTGTATTTCAATTTAAAAAAAGGAGATGTAGGAGAGGTGGCCCCGTCTCACTCCAGTCTAATGAAACCAGAATCTCTGAAGGTGGGCCCTGGCACTTCTCAAGGGACATCAATGAACAGGCAGGGTTGAGAAGCCCTGTACCGGACAGTCACCTGTCCCAGGCTCTGAACTCTTAGCCTATTCTGTTGTCATTAAGGAAGATTAAAGGGTGCCAGAGAGCAGTTTAAGAAACATGAACACCAAGCCAAGACTATCTTCTTAAAGAATTAGAAAGACTAGAAGAGAAATGATAAGGACTTCTTATGATGTGTTTCAGTATTATTTCATGCCATGCAACAAACATTGATTGAGCTGCTACTATGTGCCATGCAGCGTGTTTGGGAAACATTAGCGAACAAGACGAAGATCCCTTCCCTCTTGGAGCTTCCATTCTAGCCCGGGGAGGTAGGCAATGGGTTTAATAAATAAATATGTATGTACTGGGGGGTGACAAGTGCTATGGAAAAAGGAAAACTTAGAGCAGAGAGTGGAGGGCTGGGAGCTGGGGGCAGCAGGATTAAATGAAGTGGTCAGAGTAGGTCTTGTTGAAAAGGTGTAATTTGAGTAAAGACTTGGAGCAGGTGAAGGGGTGAGCCAAGTAGATACCTAGGGGGAGACAGCTCCTGGAAGAGGAAAGAGCCACACAAAGATGTGGAGGCGGGAGGGTACCTGGTATGATCAAGAAATAGTAGGGAGCAGAATAAACATGGGGAGACAGTAAGAGGTGGGGTTCTGTGCCTCCCTGCCTTCATTTATGACCTTGTAGCTCATTCTACAAACTCTGGGCTTTATTTAATGGCAAATTAAAGTTTATAATTATCATCTATAATTACCTAGGATCTGGTTTGCAGACATTGGAATTAATGACTGTGGAAGATGGTGTCTTTTCCAGAATGTCTGCAACAGTATTTCCCATCCACATGCTCTTCTAACAGTGTGACCTTTAAGCTTCTCTATAAAGGAGCCCTTAAATATGGGTGGGTTTAGACTATGATGGAAGTGACTCCACGTAACTTCTGAGCTTAGTCCATCCAAGGCAATGCAGCTGTCTCCCGATTCTCTGGGGACACTCACTCTTAGAACCCAGCCACCATGCTGCGAGGAAGACCAAGCCACCCCATGGAGGAGTCCACATGAAGAAGCACCAATGGCCAGCACCAATTTGCTGGCATGGTGAGTGAGCCGTGTTAGAGAGATTCTCCAGCCTCAGCAAGTTCACATCATGAGGGCAGAAGACAAGCTGTTCCTACCAAGCCCTGCCCAAACTGCAGACTCTTGTAACATCAGGATAACATGTATCAATCCTGCATTCTGCCGCATGCTCTATTACTAGCCGCTTGATGTTTTCCTTTGAACCTACTCCCTTTGCTCACACTGATGTAAATAGGAAACATTGTGTCGCTTCAGCAAGTCATTTATCATAGATCACAAATAACCATAAAACTAGATACAGTAACAACAAAAAGTGTTCTGAACTGCTGCCCAGTAATTCTTAACCCAGTCTGCACATGACAATCCCCAGCTGGATTAAAAAAAGGGTTGGGGGAGGTGACCCTGATTTACTCCAGATTAATGGAACCAGAATCTCTGAAGGTGGGACGTAGGCACTGGGTCCCAGCAATAAATAGTGTTGTTCTCAGCACTCAGTTTGATGTTTTGCTAGGCAGCAACACACAACCAGAGCAATGTCCTATACCAACCCACCTACTAACTTATTATCCAAACATTCTACCTCCCTCTGAAAGAAATCAGAATTCACCCTCAATGACATTCAAGTCTTAGCTTCAATCCCCCCTCACCCCGCTTGCCCATCAGGAAGTCCTCCCTGATTTCCTTGTTCAGGAAACAAGTACAAGATGCTCTCATAGGGAGACGCGGCTGGTAGGTATTCAGTTAAGACACAGGGTGACAAATATGTAGCTCTGGACTCTCAGTGGGTCCCTGGCTCTGCCACATACTCACCATGTGATCTTGGCCAACTCACTTACCTCCTTTGAGCCTCAGTTTCCTCACCAGTAAATGGGGGCAACAAGACCTACCTCTTAGTATTGTGAGGATGAACTGAGTTTGAAATTCATTTTCTGGAGCTTGTTCACAGCATGTGTTGGCTATGACATGGCCCCACTAGTGAGAAAATGGGGCAGCCCTCTGTTTACCTCCCAGAGGAAGGAAAACCGTGGTTCTATTCTAGGCAAAGGATGCATTTTAAAAATGTTTGCTTTGTATTACAGAAATTTTACACATACAGGAAAGTAGAGAGACCAGCTTGATGAAACCCCATATGCCCATCACTTAGATTTAACAGCTCTTAACATGTGCCATTATTTGCATCATCTGATTTTTAAATTAATGTATTTTAAAGGCAATGTTTTTGTTGTTGAAGTATACTCAGTTTACAGTGTGTTAATTTCTGGTGTAAAGCATAATGACTCAGTTACACATACACATACTCCTTTTCATATTCTTTTTCATTATAGGTTATCACAAGGTATTGAGTATAGTTCCCTGTGCTCTACAGTGGGACCTTGCTCTTTATCTATTATATATATAATAGTTAGTATCTGCAAGTCCAGAACTCGCAACTTATCACTCCACCCTCTCCTTTCCCCCTCGGTAACCACAAGTTTGTTTTCTATGTCTGTGAGTCTGTTTCTATTTTGTAAATACGTTCATTTGTATCATTTTTTTTTAGATTCCACATATAAGTAATATCATATGGTATTTGTCTTGCTCTATCTGACTTGCTTCACTTAGTATGATAATTTCCAGGTCCATCCATGTTGCTGCAAATGGCATTACTTTATTCTTTTTTATTGGTGAGTAGTATTCCATTGTACATATATTTACACCACAATTTCTTTATCCAGTCATCTGTTGATGGAGGTTTATGTTGCTTCCATGTCTTGGCTATTGTATATAGTGCTGCTGTGAACATTGGGGTGTGTGTATCTTCTCGAGTTAGAGTTTCCTCTGGATATATGCCCAGGGGTGGGATTGCTGGGTCATCTGGTAACTCTATTTTTAGTTTTTAAAGGAATCTCCATACTGGTTTCCCTAATGGCTGCATCTAAATACGTTCCCACCAACAGCATAGGAGTGTTCCCGTAAAGGCAAGTTAAAGGCGGCGTCTCACCCCTATGCATCTCTAAACAATAAGGACATTTTTTTCTACGCAACTGTAATACCATTATTACACCCAACCAAATATGAATTTCAGTATAATCTAATGTAATTTAAGTTCAGATTTCCCCAGCTGACCCAGCTGGTTTGTTCAAACCCCAGATCCAGGGAAGGACCTTACACTGCAGTTGGTTGTGATATCGTCTCTTTGAACTCTGGGCTGTTCTCGTTTCTTTCCGTATATCCCATCGACCCCGGGAAGCCAGGCTGCTGAGAGTTCCACCTTCTGGGTTTGTCTGATTGCTTTCCACAGTGTCTTCTCCCATGTTCCTCTGTCCCTTGTGTTCCTGCCATAAACTGGAACTAAAGGTATAATTAGATTAGAGTTAAACTTTGGGGGAAAGAACACTTCGTTTTTGGTGTTGTGTGTTTCCCATTACTGCTCGTCCTACTGCGGTGCCGCTAAAAGGGGTCACCGAACCAAGGGGGCCGTGGTATGGTGTTTCCACGGTCAAGTTATTTTTTCCCTTCTTTGTATCTGGGAGGAAATCTGGGAGGAGATCGTTGGTGGACATGATAGTATCCAGTCCTCTAACAGTCTTTCGGTTAACGGTTTGAGCATCCATTGATGACTAGCATCTGCAATGATTAGTTCATCAGGGGGTATAAAATAGCGATTTCTCTGTTCTCTTTTAACGTTATTGGCTGGCATCTCTCCATAAGAAGGGCTTTCTTTTCTCATCAACTTGGGCTGGTTTCATGCTGTAAAGGCTTGCTAAGCAAGGAGTTCATACAATTGTCACCTTCAAAGGTGACACATACGCTTTGTTGTTGTTCCAATATCATTATAGACTCATGTATATTTATATGTTCACTGTGTCAAATGACCCATCTTTTTATTGTGGTAAAAAAAGTATATAACATTTGCCATTTTAACCATTTTAAGTGCATAGTTTTGTGGTATGAAGTACATTCACACTGTCAGGCAACCATTTCCACAACGCATCTCCAGGACTTTCTCATCTTCCCAAAGTGAAACTCTGTCTCCATTAAACAGGGACTCCCCATCCTCCCCCACCACCACCCCAGCCCCTGGCCTCACCATCCTACTTTCTGTCTCTATGAATCTGACTCTTTTAGGGACCTCATAGGCATGGAATTATATAGCACTCGTCCTTTTGTGTCTGGCTTATTTCAATAAGCATAAGGTCCTCAAGGTTCATCCGTGTTGTAGGAGGTGTCAGAATTTCCTTCCCTTTTAAGGCTGAATACCACTCCTTTGTATGGATGGAACACATTTTGTTTATACATTCATCCATTGTTGGACACTTTGGTTATTTCCCTATAATTCTCTTTGATGCCCAGAGGGTTACACCTGATCTAGTGGGAGTTCCAGGGATGCAATTTGGAAAACCCTCAACAATTCAGAATGTAACCTAAGGCTAATTTCCCGTTTGAGTAAGGGGGAGGAGGCTGCGTTCCTGAAGCTCCTCTTCCCAGCAATTGTAGATTCAAAGGGTCTTCATGGAAATCTTCCTTCAGAGACAAATTGCTGTGCCCCCTCTTCCCAAGCTGGCCGTACACCCGGCTTCTGATTCCGTAGACCAGGAGACCAGAATTCGCATTTCTAACAAAGCTCCTAGCGATGCTGAACCTGCTGTTTCAAGATCCACTTAGAACTGCTGATCTACTTATATCCAGTTATAGGATTAAAAAAAAATTAAGGTTGTACTCACATTAGAGTTGCTGCTTATTTTCTCAGCATGAGCTCCAATCTCTGCCCATCCCCACCCTCAACCCACGCACCAGCTCGCCCCGCCCTAGATGAAAAGGTACCGTGTTGCTCAGTACTGAGACAGCGGTCTGGTCTTCAGAGTTTTTGTCTGGACTTCTTTCCATTCCAAAGTTACTGATTTTCTAGCGCTGTTATTCAGAGCAAAGCAACCAGCCACACAACCTAATGAATACTTGGCTGATACTTACATCAGAAATGGAAGGGGAAAAAACACCCAGGTAGAAAACCCTAATTTTTAATTATAAGAAAGGATTTAAAAACCACTACTCAGGGGACCTCAAATCAAAGGCAGAAGTTCCAATATCCAAGAGACAAGTGGCTTACAGGATCCTGAAAAAGATGGGGTGATATGTTTACGTCCGATCTAAATACAGTTTACAATTGATACAGAAGTGTATCAATATGAGTAAACTAAAAACCGGTTTTTGGAGGGGTTAGCATGATAAATCTCCTGATGGTGAACTTCTTAGTTATGTCAATGTAGATTTCGAATGTGTATCATTCGGATTAACGTGGACTAGCATCACACCGTACTGTTTGTCTCCATTTTACAGATGCAAACCGAGACTCAGGGGAAGAAGGGAGTTGACCGGGCGGGCCATGGTGCAGATCCAGGATTGGAAAAATAATCTGCAGTTCCAGAGCCCAGGGTTCATTCCATCACACAGTAGCAACACGTGGCCAGGAAACAAAAGTGTCCCAGGGGATTCTTCCCTAGAGCTCTAACCCGCCACCTCAGCTCCGGCC